TGATCCTGGGCCAAATGAAATCTTGTTATTCTTAAACCTTTTGTGGTGTGATCCTGGGCCAAATGAAATCTTGTTATTCTTAAACCTTTTGTGGTGTGATCCTGGGCCAAATGAAATCTTGTTATTCTTAAACCTTTTGTGGTTTGGTTTTAGGAGGAAAAAAAATCTTGTAATGCATATGAACCTTTTGTGGTGTGGGAGTTCTTAAAAACAGATTTCATATTTATTTAAACTTTTTAGGTTCAGAAGCCCCTCCTAAATGATCTAGATTGTGTCAATGGCTGCGTAGAAAGACCCCTTTAAAAAAGTAAGAAAACTGTGTGGGACTTGGTATTGGTTTGTGCCTGATGTCGTGGATACACAGATGTTTTTTGTTCTGTTTTGTCGCAGGTGGGTGAAACGAGACAGTTACCTGCCCATGGGGAGTCAGAACCTCAAGGCCGTGGCCAAGGTGAGAGACACTCTTCTGCTTCACTGATGGCTCTCTTTGACCGCCGTTGTCACGGGGGGGGATAATTGAATGATGATATAAGTTTGTCCGTCATCTATGTCTGACCAATACGTCTGCAGACAAGAAAGTTAAGTGGAACAGAAGAGGTAAGGATTAAGCTGCGGATGGTTGGTGGGTGCTCTGTTGTTGTTTGCTACTTCTCTCTTATCAAACATCTATCGTCCTGATCTCTTCTCCTTTTTTGTGTTTGTTACTCTCTTGTAACACCTCTTATCTTCAACACTTATACGACCTTATTGTGTTGCGAGTGCCATAAAACTCTAACTATGACTTGATTGTGTTGCAAGTGCTGTAAAACCCTTACTTACTACAACAAGAAATAAGATAACTCGTAGCGTCTGCTGTGACCTTTCGTGTACTGTGCAATCTGGCAGGCCAAGCTGCGCTACGACCCCGTGGAGCTGGACCCCGAGGAGATGTGCCGTATGGCCAGCGAGCAGCCGCAGGTCCTGGCCAACTACTCTGTGTCGGACGCCGTGGCCACATACTATCTGTACATGAAGTATGTGCACCCGTTCATCTTTGCCCTGTGCACCATCATCCCCATGGAGCCCGACGAGGTGAATCACACTTTGATTGTTTGAATGCTCCACTTTGTTCTCACATACTCTCCTCCTCCTCCTCCTCTTCTTCTCTCTCCTCTTCTTATTCTCTCTCTCCTCCTCTTCTTATTCTCTCTCCTCCTCCTCCTCCTTCCTCTTCCTTCTCTTCCTCTTCCTGGAGGTTCTACAATGTAATGAAATTTTCACAAAACTGTGTTTGTTTTGAGGAGGTTCTACAGTATAATGAAATGACGTTGCTATGGTTATGAGCCTGTGTTTCACAACGCTGTGTTTGTGTTTGGAGGTTCTGCGGAAGGGCTCGGGCACTCTGTGCGAGACTCTGCTCATGGTCCAGGCGTACCACGCCAACATCGTCTACCCCAACAAGCAGGAGTCCGTGCTCAACAAACTCACCGACGACGGCCACGTTCTCGACTCGGAGACTTATGTCGGCGGCCATGTTGAAGCTCTGGAGTCTGGCGTGTTCCGCTCGGACTTGCCATGTCGTTTCCGTATGGTGAGTGCCTCGCTGTGCTGGGCTGTGTTGTGTTTTGCTGTACTGTGTTGTGCTGCGCCGCTCTGTGCCAAAATGTGTCTTAATTTTTTTCTAACGTTTTGTCTTCATTTTGATCATGTCACGTGTCATTTTTCATTTTTAACGTGTTACTTTGTTTATTTACATTTCCACCTTGTAATGCATGAATGCACAGGCTGAAGGGCGAGAACTCAAATGGCCGCTGGGTCGGAAAAGTAAAGTAAGTAATGCATGAATATTAGACAATATCACAAACAAAGTACAAAGGTTTCAACTTTGACGTGCAGATGATGATGACCAGAGAGATATTGGATGTTTTCCACTTCTTGTTAAGAAAACTTTTAAAACAAATTAAAATTATGACAAGTGTTTGAGATTCAGATTTTTTAGTTGAAAAAAAAAGTAGCGATGATAACCAAATAATACTATGTTGTGTGTTGTTAGGTTCCGGCTGCGTTCCAGACGCTTCACGACGCGGTGGAGCGCACGTTGAGACACGCCATAGAGGTGGAGGAGAAGATACCCATGGACACAGTCACCAACTTTGAGGAGGTACGTGCGTGTGTGTGTGTGTGTGTGTCTGTGTGTGCTATCGCTGAACGTAGGACCGGTAGTCTGTCATTTTTTCTTACTTGTAAATCAAGAGCATTATTGTGAAAAAATTTGTAGCTCCAAAATTATTTCTGTTTTATTTGTAACTTTGAATGACTCAAGTCTCTCCCTTTCCATGTGTGTATATACAGGTGTGTGTGTATATATACAGGTGTGTGCGGAGGTGTGTATCATGTCCCCTCTTTGTGTATATACAGGTGTTTGTGTGTATATATATATATATATATACAGGTGTGTGTGTATATATATCTATACAGGTGTGTGCGGAGGTGCGGGAGAAGCTACTCCATCTCCGCGACTGCCCCAACCGTCTGGAGAACCCCATCATCTATCACCTGGACGTTGGGCTATTTATGAGGCATTTTTTTCTTTTCAAACCCATATTAATTGTGTTGTTATCAGTCATTTTGTCTCCAAATGCAGCTGTGTAGATTTTCAATTATTTACACAACATGCCAGTGCCAGCACAGAGTAGGAAAATGACCACCTGTTGTCAGATTATCTTGGCTTGTAAGATGTTCGGTGGGTTTACAAAATGTCTGCTTTCTGTGAGATAATATCTTGACCGGTAAGATGTTCGTTGAGTTCACAAAATGACCCCTTCCTCCCCCCCAGCCTCCAGCCATAGTGGAGGAAGAGACGTGTGCAGCGTGCGACTTCAATCGGCCCGGAGCCCGTTGTCAGCGAAACATGCCCTGGATGTGGAGGGGAGAGTTTAGTAAGTGGTGCTTGTTGTTTTGCTGTTGTTGTTGATGTGGTTGTCAGTTTTGTTTTTGTTGTCTTGTGGTTGTTGTTGTTTTGTTGTTATTGTTGTTGTCGTCAGGAGATCCGTCTGTTATGAGAACACCTAGGAAAGGAGATAAAAAAACTAGCGGAGAGTGGGACGTCCTTTTTCCGTCTAGCTCCGTCTACCTTGAGCTCTCTTCCACAACATTTGAGAGACAGAAAGTTGGAGACAAAATGGAAAATTTATTTTAAAATCATACCTAATGAAATGACATCTTGAAAGTTAATCTTTCTTTTTCCTAGCACTTTGATGTTCATAATTCTGTGTGAGCTAGTCTGTATACTGTGTGTGTTTCTGTGCCTGTGCTAGTCTGTATGCTATGTGTGTTTACTTATCTGTATGCTATGTGTGTTTCAGTGCCGGCGACCAAGAATGAGTTTTACCGCATCCAGCAACAACTGGAGAACGAGAAGTTCCCACCTGTGTTCCCCGATGGCCCACCGCGGGCTTTCCACCAACTGAGCAAAGAAGAGCAAGCGACCTTTGAGAAGAAGCGTTTGGCGGGTAAGAGAAGGTTTTGTTTATGACAGTAAATTCTATATCTTCCACCCTCTCTCTCTACTTCCTTTTCTCTTGCTTTCTCCTTCACTTGCTCCCTTCTTCCTCTATCTCCCTCTCCTATCTCCTCCTTCACTTGCTCCCTTCTTCCTCTGTCTCCCTCTCCTATCTCCTCCTTTAAGGTAGGTAACAAACATCAAAGTAAATGAGTCCTGATTATTTTTTTGTTTTTCTTTAGATTTTTACCGTAAGGCAAACAAAGATAGAAAGTCTGAGGTTAAAATTCCCAGCCACATTTGACAAGAAAGAATCTACAGGTGTTTGTGTTTTTTCTCCCCTTGTTCATTCAGACTACTGCCGCAAGGCTTACAAAAAAGTTCACTCGACTCGCATGGAGGAAAGGACGGCCACCATCTGTCAGAGGGAGAATTCTTTCTACGTGGACACTGTCAGAGCCTTCAGGGACCGGAGATACGAGTTCAAAGGTCAGGAACAACCGGATTGAGTAGTAGAAAGTGACTGTCTCCAAATGTTTTCTGTTTTTACCTGACATTGGTTGTTTCTATAGACATGTCTTTTTGTTCGCCAGCGCAACGTTGTAGATGATCAAGTATTTCCAGTGGGTGGTTGGCTGGTGTGCTCTGGTGTGGTTTGCTCCTTCTTTCCTATCAAACATCTATCGTCTTTATCTCTCCTTTTTTGTGTATGTTACTCTGTTGTAACACCTCTAATCTTCGGCACTTATATGACCTTATTGTGTTGCAAGTGCCGTAAAACTCTTACTTAAAACTTAAAACCAAAGTATTTTCACAAAATCCGCGTGGTGCCCTTGAAGTGGCACTAACTGACGTGTGAAAACTCCCCCCCCCCCCCCCCGCAGGTCTGACCAAGGTGTGGAAGAACAAACTGACAGAGGCGGAGAAGAAGAAGGACGCGGCGGAGATGAAGAAGGCCAACGGTCTGGTGGTCCTCTACGACTCGCTCCAGCTGGCCCACAAGTGTATCCTCAACTCCTTCTACGGATACGTCATGAGGAAAGGGTACGCATCACTGCCAGAATGTACCAATAAAATGATGATAATAATAATAACAGATGCCAACCAGTACGATTTTACGTATTTAGTACGATTTTTTTCCGAAAAAACGCGAATACGACTTTTCATGAAAAAATACGCATCCTGGAATGCGAAAAATACGAGATTCAGCTTGGGCGGGTAAACCTAATTATCTCAAGTCCCATCTTTTGTCAAAATAGTTTCAGTATCGCAGAACTGGAATATTCATAGCTGCCACTTTCCCGCTAAATAGCGGAAACTCCGCTACATCTAGCGTTTCCCTCAACTTTCCTCCTTCCTCCGCTGGACCGCTCTTGGTCGCAAATTTCATACTTTTTTTTCCACGCGGAAAACACCGAACCGGGAGAGAGACGAAAACGCGGTCTGCGCATGTCCGCCCGTAGCTTTCTACTTCCGTTCTTCTAGGCCCAGCGCTAGTTTCACATTGTTTATTGTTGTGGAGCAACACTGTCGATCGGGCATCGGGACGTTAGCGCGCCGAGTTGTCATTGAAATTGGCGGAAATTCGAGAGAAATTGTTTCAGAATGCAAAAATAAAAGGAGCTGGAATGAGAAAGAAGCAGCCGGTGTGCGACTTGAAAAGTTCATTAGAAAATTGAACTAGATCTAGATCTAGATCTAGCCGTTTTTTGCGAAAGAAATCGTGGCCCGCGGCACTCCTATGCCTGTACAATTGCGGTCCCGTTTGTTTACATGACGGCTATTGTGGCTGCTGCAGAAGTGAATCTAGATCTAGATCTAGAAAATCTATCTCTAGATATAATCTAGATCTACACATATTTAGATATATCTAGATCTAGATCTAGATTAGATAGCCTAGGCTATAATTTTAATTCAGTTTATCTCTAAATAAGAAACACACTGCAGGGGCACTAAGTGCAAACGGGACCGCAATTGTACAGGAGTGCTTGCCTCCTTGATCCGATACTGCTCTACGTCTATGTATGTACACGTTTAAAGTGAAAGAAATCTTTTTATGAGACACCAGCTGGCAAAAAACACTAGATTTTTAGTCACCAAGTCCAAACTGTGTCAAATTGACTCGAATGCTTGTTAGTCAACTTACTGCCTTTATGTTGTTGTTGTTTTTTTTTTTGGGGGGGGGGGGGGGGTTTCAAATACATTTTAATTCAGTTGCTTATGGTTAACAATATGACAGCTTTCCCTTCCAAAACCGTAGGCTAGATTTTCCAGTATATATTGCCTCTGGATCTCACTGGTTTCGGAGAGCGCGCGTACGCCTTCGCGCGAATTTCCTCCTTTTTATAAATTTCTGAGTGGCAGCTATGAATATTTGAAAACCAAGTCGGATAAGGTCAGTAAGTTCATTTTTGCCGGTCGCGATCGTGATATTGTATTCATTCAGCTTTTCCCCGTCCGGAGAGTACGTTTCACTTTCACGCGAATAGGCAGCTATGGTGGCAGGTGGAAGCGTATGTGACACCGAGGCTCGATCAGGAAAATCAAGATCTACTTTCGCTTTCGTTACCACGGAGTAGTTTGCCAGCAGTTGTCATGTCTGATGACGCAACATTTGTGACATGCAGGTTGAGCAGTATAAACTCAATGTCGCCGTGCAAGTAAAATGTAACAAACACTCGGACTCGCCTCTTTGGCTGTCGCTTGGGGGAAAAAAAGAAAAGAAAATACAAGCGTCGTCCGATTTTTTAGTTTGTCTGGCTCGCCATCGTGACCGGTCACTGAACCTGCGCGCATTCACGGCATAAATAAATGCGGCATCGTGTGAGCAAAGACCGTCTTTGGTGGGAGTAACAGCCTTGCGAAGTACAGGACTTCGGAATAGAGGAGGAGATTATTAATTTTTGGGGGTTTAAGATACTATGGGCGAGGGTGTGAAGGCAACACCAGAGGACAAAAACTTGGAAGCACATTTCAGAATTTTGATCAGAGCTTTCTGCAAAGCGCGCGTTGGTGCAGGTCGTGTGCGGAATCGGGACCCTTCATACTTTGCAAGTCTGGTTATTGAAATTATGTGTTCACGTTTCATTGGATGGGTGATAGTAAACTATACCTACAGTGTATGTTGTAGCTTTCTGTTCAAGACTGGCAGATTTTCAGTGTCACTGCATCTTGCCCTCCCAC